GTGTCCCAGCACGCTCTACCTAGCGTGGCTCGACTTCTTGTCTCGTGATCTGAGACCTCCAGTCCTTCTGGTCAGAGGAAACCAGGAAAACGTTCTCACCTTCTACTGCCAGTAACACCTCCAGTGAGACCAATGGACAAATATGAAACCAGTTATCCTGACATTACAACACCTTTCAGGCCACAGAAGACATTTATTTTTCCATAGATTTATTTCTTGTAATTGAATTTTCAGGTATTAGTGAATGTAATTTCTTCAGTAATGAGCACATGAAATGCTTTGTTACATTTTGATTAACTCTGATCACAAAAATTAGTGAAAAGACGTCTACTGTGCAGTGTCCTCTGTGTTTGTCAGTTAGGGTCCCTTCATGCTAATGTTGCACTCTCCACTTCATAATATACAATAAAAAATAATAAATATAGCTAACATACACATTCATGGGAATATGAGGTTGAAATAATTATGCAAGTCTTTGTTTGACAGATAATTGATATTGACAGAAAATGCTAATGCATTTTTTTTTTTTTTAATCTTTCTATTTATTGATTTGTGACACAGGAGCAATGGTCTCCTATAGCTTCACCATCAGTCTAATTTAACTTTGTAAATAAAATCTTCAGTACTCTTTTTAATATTAAGGTACAATATTAAGGTAATGAGGTACAATGGGAACACACGGTATCACAACATGTCCTTGTTGTAACTCTCTTGTAGTTAATCCAACGAGCTATGTAATAAATCGATCATTAAATTAATAAATACTTGTATTTGTAAGTATATGCATATAATCAAAACATGATACAGTATTAAAAATGTTTAAAGGTGCTGTTGTAGTTTATCTGGTCATTTTTTCACGGCAGTATTTATATTCCGATGTTTTGCTCAGATGTGTCGTTAACATCTTGTGGCTCCGTTCACTTTCCTGGATAAATCTTGTGGGAATATCTGAAAGTTTACAGCTGATGTAACACGCCTGATGTAACTTCAGCTGCTTCTCTTACCAGAGACGGAAGCTGACAGGAGCTCTCACTATGACTGTGTTTTAGAAAACAGAAAAAGCAAAACCTTGAAGAAAGCTCACATGAAGTGTACAAAAGAAAACATACAAATGTTTCACTTTGGTGGTGTGTGTTCGCTCTTTACTTGGACTTTAGCCCGGGTCTAAGCGCGTTTATCTCTGCTTTTTGATACCTTCTCAAATGGCACCAAAGTGTGGGTTACTCCTAAATAAACGATCTTTGGAAGCATAATCAATAACTGCGCATGCTCAAGCGGCGAATATTCTGCAAGCCTCCACGTCTGAGCACGAGCAGACGGTAGCCAATCAGGAGCGGCCACAGTGTGTTTGGAAACAACATTCCTCCTCTAAAGTCCCGTATGAGGACCAGCGGAGACACTTCTAGAGCCACCCAGGTCACTGCAGTTTCTCTTTAACATAAGACGCACTTTCCCCCGGCCGTTCTTCGTGTTAGGGAGTCCAGCGAGTCACAAAACATCCTGTTTTTCTAGCTCACACATCGCCATTACAACCGGCAGACGGTAAAAATGGATGCAGGAAATTCTGAACAAAAGGCGATCACTCTCATCATAAAGACGCCCAACCAGGCTCAGGAGGACCGGACCATCGAGGGAGTGAGCCTGCAGTGGACCATAAAGGAGCTGAAAGCGCACCTGTCCGCTGTCTACCCGACCAAACCGGTGAGTTTACACAGAGGGCGGCGGAGCTATTCGCGGCTGTGCTGTGGAATGTGATGAGAGTAAAAACGAGCTGTCAGCCATTTCCCGGGTCACGCGCGTGTATATGCGCGCGCTCACACGAAACCAGCGCAGCGTGCCTTTGAGTCCCATGAGCGCGAGCTCGCAGTCATGTCATTTTCTGTTTAATTAAAAAACCTGTTTTGGTACAGACGTTGGAGGTGTTTTGGTATCTCTCTGTAGTTATGTCTGTGAAATAAGTACAACTTCGCATTCGTGTTATTCAGACCACATCCAGAGGTGTGTCGGGGGGGGGGGGGCTACACATGTCAAACATCAGTTTTGGACCGGAAGCAGAGAAGCAAAGACGGATCTACCCTCAAGGGGGGTTGGAAGCCTAGTGATGGCAGCTGTAGCCAGGCACAGGCAGTGGACCGAAAAGGTTCAAGTGAGGAGCCAGGTTTCGTCTGTTTACCCAAATGTTGTGGGAACTTGGCCATGTGTTTCTGGTTACGAAATGTTCTCATCAAAATCTTTGTTTTATTGTTTATTCTTTGTTTTGATACTAAGATTTTTTTTTTTTACTACAATTAGATATAAGTCTGTGTGATCTACTGCAAACAAATTACTCGACTTTGGCCATATTTCATGGTTTCAGTTTCGTACCTTAAAAAAACAACCTCCCCCACCAAACCCAAAGCAGCAAGGAGATCTGATCCGTTACTGACTTTATGCTTGTTTCGTCTCCAGGCTGTGAGTGACCAGAGGCTCATCTACGCTGGCAAACTGCTGCCTGATAACCTGCACATTAACGGACTCTTCATACAGGTGTGTATGATAGCACGAGCTAGTTGTAAATGTCACGAGCTGATTATGTGCCACTATGCTGGTGACAAACTGGTGGAAGAGGGCTGCTTTTATCTCGCTGCTGCTTGTAGGAGAATAAGGAAGTACACAGTAATTACTGAGACCTGTGAAAGGGCTGTGCCACAAAAACTAGGACAGACTATTTCATGTTTTTTGTTCAAGAATCCCAGTAGAGGCTCATATTGCCTGAGAAGGCATGATAGACGTGCACAAAGGAGCTGTCAGCCATTTATTCTGTAAACCAATCAGCATACAGCTGTAGAAAACCTGCACGCAAGCTTTGGAGCTTCTGCAGCCTTAATTCTGTGGCCTGACCCCACTTCCTTATAAACTAGAAAAACAAAACAAACAAAACTCATTTTACTGTCTGTCAGCGTTGGGCAGCCGGGAGGAACCACTATAGAAAAGAGTGCAACAGAGAGACAGCTCGGACTGAGAAGGCTGAGAGCTGAGGCTGAGATGGTTTGGACACGTTCAGGGGGGACAATAGCAGATCTGTTGGACAAAGGATGATGAAGATGGTGCTGCGAGGTAGGAGGAACAGAAAAGGACCTCAGTGAGGATTCATGGCTGTAGTGAAGGAGGCCAGGGATAGGGTGAGATGGAGATATAAACTTAAATTTCAGTTGTATGCAGCACTGCAACGAAACAAAATAACCGTGGACTTTTTTTGTTTGTTTGTTTTCTGTAAAAATCACTGATTTGGCGTAGTTGGCATGGTCATCCACAGTTTGAGAACCACTGGCTACTCTGAGTAGACCCAAACCCAGCAGAAGAGCTTCATACCGTACCAGAGCCATGCTGCCCTCACTGTAAGGGTCAAGAGTGCAGTTTTTTTCCTTTCATTTGTCACTGGTTATCAGACACACACTGCAGTGAAAGGCCACATGCAAAAAGAAAAAGTCACAACCTGGACACTGTCGTACAAA